GCATGGCAGCATGGCAGCATGGCAGCATGGCAGCATGGCAGCATGGCAGCATGGCAGCATGGCAGCATGGCAGCATGGCAGCATGGCAGCATGGCGGCATGGCGGCATGGCGGCATGGCGGCATGGCGGCATGGTGGCATGGCAGCATGGCGGCATGGCAGCATGGCGGCATGGCAGCATGGCAGCATGGCAGCATGGCAGCATAGCAGCATGGCAGCATGAAAGGTTGGAAGGATAAAATAATTGATTGTGGAAGACAAGGTAGTTAGGTACGGTAGGGTGAAAGAATGAAAGGAAGGAAGAAAGGGAAGAATTGAGGAGACCTATGGAAGACAGAGGAGATGATCTTGATATTTTTTAATATAATGTAACCTTACCAGTTGTAACACACAATGATTGTCCATTTCCTTAGTTTAGGAGTCCGTACAAGGTCTAATGGATTGTACCTCTTATGGAAATCTCCATCTTTAATTTGCTTTCCATCTTCCCTTACATATTCCAGTAACTCTCGTAGCGCTTGCGTATCCAGAGTTTTATTTTTCTTTGCGCCACATTTCATAAGCACCGCTTGGGCTCGCTCAATGTGATCGTGGGCGAGAGACCATCGTGGAGTTTCAGGAAATACGCTAAAAAGGGATAGAATTGATAATTAATAACCTTTCAGAAATATTTAAGGTGAATAAGTATCCTTCTACAGCTGATAGGATAGGATTCTAGTACTACATATTATAGGTTATCTTCCCAGAAGGCTTGCAGGCAATCCTCAACGATTACAACAATGCAGCCTTGTCAGTAGAAAGTCCTCAAAAAAAAAAAAAAAAAAAAAAAAAAAAAAAAAAAAAAAAAAAAAAAAACCCTGCCGCATCGCAACGCGTGCCGCCCTGAATTGCAATTTGTACGATTATCGTCTACTCGTATTGGATCGTTTAACTTTAAAAAATGACAATTGCAACAATAGCGCTAATGTTAAAAGACAGTGTGAGATGATTTCACGATCGACTGAAGAGACTCCAGGGTTTCGATTTCTAAGTATCCATGTATGCAATACATACCAAAAGAAAAAGAAAAACACAATTCCACTGAGGCTTCCAATGAGAATGTGCAATCTCCAGTCCCGAACGAAGTAGGCCAATAAGACTACTGCCCAGGCCCCAAACTTCCAAAACGAACCTTGGGCTTTCCCAGCATGCGTGCGTTTGTTGGGACCCACCATCTCAACGATGTAGACAAACTGAGTCAACATGCATCCAGCCAATGAAAAGCCGACGAAGAAGCGAAGAAAGATCAACAGGGGTATTGAATTTGCAAATGATGAACCGACACCAAACAGTATCTGTAGAGTGACCAAAAGATACATTAGAAACGAATGGACACTATATAAACAAACCTGATAAATCCGGCTAAAAATGCAAATTTGTATATAAATATGAATTTTCTTAGACAAAATTTATGTGTTAATATATATGCACCATTTTTTTTTTCTAGGAAAGAAGATTCGAAACTAAGTGTACAAATTTTAGGATACACATAGGGTTAATCAAGGTTCTTGTAATAAGTCAGGGCATGCACTACAGGGATGTAGCTAGAAGAGGAATAGAGAGGCAAGGAGAGCTCGCGGGAAGAGGAGAGGAAAGGATGGAAAAAATGGGGTTCAACCCCCTTCAAACTCCATGATTGGCTTTGCCAAACTTCTTTTTTGCCTCGTATTCCGCTTGTTTTGTTAGATGAATAATGACTCACAATGAATGCAAGACTGAGGAAAATAGATGTTCGCCTTCCAAATGAATCCGCTATCCACCCACTAACAATAGAACCGACGAGCATTCCAGCGAAGTAACTAGACTGTATGGAAGCCCCTAGGTATGCCCGGTCACACAACAGATTCCACTGAAAGGAAAAAAAAAACATTTGAGGTTCAGTATACAAGTGGGTAGAGCATACGAAAAATGTGTAGGGTTGTGGCTTCGAATTCAAACTGGATCTCCAATTTTCGGCGTGCTTGTATACGGATCGATAGACCCCTTTCGAATTCCAAATTACCGTTGTGTTTCTTGATTACAGACTCATTTGCACAGGGTTAGCCTCGAGTTTGTTCAGAATATTCACGTGTTCCAGTCAAGGTCCGTCGAGTTTCAAAATGTTTGTATTGTTGAAGTTGTGCATTCTTTCCTTTTCTGTTGTTATTTGTGAATATTTAAACACTGATACGAGGCTAAGCCTGTGCAAATGAGTCTGTAATCAAGGAACACAGCGGTAATTTGGAATTCGAAAGGGGTCTATTGGCTTTGATTTCCAAATTAGCACCCAAAGTATTATAACCGAAAAAAATTTTTCTAAAGTTTTACATGTAGTTGAATCACTCGATTTAAGTTTGTTTTCCCATTTCAAGAAACCACGTGAATGATTTTCAATGGGAAAAAACAATCGTTTAAAAAATGGGTAGTTGGTGGTAGTTACACCTACCTCAGATACAGTACTAGTAAAAGGTCCATCAAACACGTAGTTCGTACAGTTGTTGCAGCATTTGTTTGCCTCACACCACGTAGAATTACCATCAGAGCAATGAAACTTTGGTGTACCCAATGCGAAAATAGATTGACCAAACTGAAAGGCCATGGGGAACTGAAGCATGCAAACGCCAAAATACAAGATTATCTGGTAGGGACCCATTGTACGCACTAGCTGAAACACTTCATCAAATTCGTATCGTTTCTTCTTGTTAGTGCTCTCCATGGTTAGTCTAAAACATTGAAACATAAAAAGCTTAGAGTACAAACACTAAAAGTGTGCAACACATTGCACTATTTAGTACTGAGTAAGTAGTGCTAATTAAACAATAGAAGACAATAGGATTAGCATAATTTAGCAGTATTTAGAGGTACTTATGTTACACACTTATAGTGTTTGTACTCTAACAACGTACTGGCAATAATTATAAATAGTTTTTAGTTTATTTGCAAACTTTACTTGTCAGTAATAATGATGGTTATGATTGGTGGTGGGGGGGGGGGGGTTTGAATTGACATGTTCACGAGGACATTGACCATGAAAGTAACGATGATACACATGATAACTGGTAATGGTGATGATTGTGATGACACATGATGGAAGCATTGATTATAGTGTATGGTGATGCCTCTGATGATATTTTGCTCAAGTTATAATTTTTCTCGTACTGGTCATTTTTTAGATTCATATCGGTACTAAATAACAAAGCATTCCTCATTAATTTCTCTTGTTCATGCATGACACCGACTTGGTGGCTATAGCTTAATAGTGTTGTCTATTTCTCGAGGGATTGGAAAGCCGTAGTTCTAAATATAGATGGACTGGGATAACGATATCTCCTAAGAAAGATACGCGAGTTGTTGTACGCTTCGGTTAATTGTACTGTCTCCTGGTTTAATTAATAGTGACCTTATATTAACCCTTTGACTCCTGCAACACTAGCCTACGTAGCCGGCCCTCTTTTGGAGGCCTGGGGAGAGAAGAAAAGGGAGAAGAGGCCCCAAAAGAGGGCCGGCTACGCAGGCTACTGCAACACCCGAAACGGATCGCAAAAAAAAAACCCACCTTATTTGAAAAAATTAAGCTTTAACAATTTTTTGCCATGCAGTTGGTCTGAATACAAGTTTAAATTCTTCTTTAGTAAACGTGTATTCTTTTTCCACGGCTAACCAGACGTATTTCATAGCTACTCGATTCTTCACTTGTCTGCATCGCAATGCATCATGGCAAATTCCAGAAATGTTGGACAAGGAGTAAGGTCGATTATGTTTTTTTATATTTTTTCCACCTCAAAATAGAGTCACTCGGTCCTACGAACGAAATATCGGCGTCAAAGAATTTTCCGTGAGCCAAATATTCGACAAAATGGCTGTCCATCTGTTTAAGAGGTTACATGATAATAACGCCAAAATTTTTCAAATGTACCCAGTACAAAAACCCCTTGCATACTCTCAGTTTTTTAAGATAGGGCTGAGATACGCTACATGTCTAAGGTCTTCATGATGTTCTCCAGCACTCCACAGATAGAAAATAAGGCTCTCAAAATTTCGCGATATCGATCACACCAGTGGCGATCTTTGTACTGACAATGTACAAACGCCAAATATGGTTTTGCTAGGGTTTGCAGAACGTTTAGGCCCAGAAAAAAATAAATGAATACCTCAAATATATCCAGGAGTCAAAGGGTTGATGTTAATGATGATGGTGATGGTAAAGATGATGCATGGTGATGCTAGGGAACTGATACGTGAATATTGATGGCTGGTGATGGTGATGGTGAAGTGTTACATGATGATGATGGTAGTCATATGATGGTGTTGGTAATGGTGATAAATGATGTATTTTGCTGATGGTGATTTGCATAGTATGATGGTGGGAAAACGACCATGATGGATGATAATGATGAATTGATATATGCAGATGTTCATGGTGATGGCGAAAACAATACATGTTAATTTGTGATGGTGATGATATATCGAACATTGCCCCAGAAAAACCAATGCTTAACAAATGCAAATCACGAATTCCTTGAAATGCAAAGTGTTCTGATTTGAATTACCTAAGATATATTAAGGTAAGGTATCTACATTAATGTTGAAGATGGTAGTTCAGGTGATATTAATACACAACATTTGCTGACATGTACAGTTACAAGCCAAAATGCTTCAAAGATGCTTCTTTCAAAGATTTTTTCGAAAATTCAAACTCAAGGCTTATGATACACGGATGGGGTGTGCCACCAGGACCTCAAAACCCTGACCCTATCCCAGACCTAAAATTTTGATTTTACATACCCTACCCCAGACTAAGACGAATAATTGTACACCCTATCCCAGACTAAACCCAGTTAGTCAATAGATTGCAATCAATATTTATTAACGTATTTATTGTTTTTTTGCCGGCAGAAAGCGTAGCCTATTCGCCAGAAGAATTGTCAACTAGAGTTTTATTCTGCCTTTTCTTCATTTGTATGATATCAATATATATTTCAGTATCTTGTATATTTGATAGTAAATTAATCAAAAATCTCTCTATCCTGTACACATCAGTCACCAACGTAAATATTTGTCATTTTTCTCTGCATATTTTTTTCCTAATATGACTTAACTTTGCATTGCTTCCTTAACTTTTACTTAAGTAAATATAAAAAGGCTGGGGGACAACTAGAAAGCATCACTGTTAATTTGTCCTCCAGGCTCAAATATCTCGACTAATCTCTATTCTCAGTCTGTATTGTCATATGCACAAATAATATGAATAGAAATTAGTGTAATTTTCCTTATCACTTTATTATAGATATTTATTATACATTTATATTATATTTAAATTTCTATATATTGTCACAAAATGTAATTAATATTTAGGAGCAATAAACTTCTGTTCTGTTCTAGATCTGTCCAGACAAAAACGACCAAATCGTTAACCCTATCCCAGACTAAAATGATACCCTATCCTAGACAAAATGTCAAAAAGTGATACCCTACCCCAGACCCAAAAGCCGAAAAACCATACCCTATAGGGCGGCACATACCCGTATAGCAAATATAGGGGAGTACCMCCCCCCCCCCCCCCCCACGGGATGGAATATGACTTATTACAATGAATAATCAATGTTCTACGTTCCAATATTCTATTTCATCTTATCTTTGGAGTAACGAGAGCATCGGGTCAGTCAGGAAAAACAAATATTTGATACCTTTATTTACTTATGAATGTCATCTATATATATCCATTACATACGTTTTAGTTCCCAGAATGAGTATTTTTGACTCCTTTAATATTCCAGATCATACACAATTTTTGTTACAAGGAAAGTTTTTTCCACTTATCGATGCGGAATTTCAGTCGGGTAAGCTAATTTCATGTGCGGAAATCCAGTATAGATCGAGTATTTGTCAATAAAGTTATATATCTCGGCTATCCATGCAGATCGAGGAGGATCTATGGCTATCTCAAATTTCAATCGGTTTAATATATGTGTGCCATCGTTTTCTAATTGTATTGCTACTACTAATGCTTGTACTAAGGTATTGCTTTAATGTGTCTGATGAACATATGTTCGACTGATTAATTAGGCAAATGAATTAAATAAGTCAGTCGTAGGATATGTGCTGAACCTGAGAGTATTCGAAAGTACTCCAGTGTTTTACCGTGTTATCTCTTTCTTTTTTATGAGCTATAACATACACTACTTAAGTAATAAGTAGCATTGTTTTTTCAATTTCCAAAATATTACACGCAATGCATGACGGGATACCCCTGGGATCTTCCGTACTATCCTACCGTACTTCAAACTAAACTCACCTTTTTAGCAGATTTTTTGGATTTGTTTTTCGAAGGTATTACAAGTGGTTAAGTTGAGAGGATGGTACGTACGAATCAGGAGAAAGCAAAGACGAGCAGAGACACTAGCGCAAACACACTCTGATCTTTGCTTCACTGAGCCGTAACCTAAAACATTTGCTTGAGTGTTTGACAGTTGGAATGTTCTGGAACATGGAATGGACTGGACCCGACAAAACATGGACCGGAAAGCACGGGTGGCGTAGCGGTGTGAGCGCTCGCCTCTCATCAATACGACCCGAGTTCGAGTCCCGCCGGGTTCGGTGTTGCATATATGAGTATAGTTGTTCGTTGGTTCTCCGGTTTTCCTCCCTTCGCAAAAATCAACTTCTAAATTCCAATTCGATCACGGAATGAGGGCCACAGGTTTGTTAGCCACTGGCTATTAAGTGCTACCCTCGTGAAAAAGGACGGGGACGTAGGCATGGACCGTAGTAGAAAATATGGACTTTGTGGAAACCTTATCTGTATGTCACATTGATAATCATCATAATGTAGCAAACTTTTTATTTTTTTAGATTATAACTTCAAAATTTCATACGCACAAACTTTTTTGACGGTTTTTTATTCTAGTACGGGTGATCGTCGACAATTTCTATCTTTAAAGTGACTGTAACGTGGCGCATACTCTCTATTTTAACGATATTGTTGCTCAACTAGATCAGCTCCTTAGTAGTTTAGAAATCAAAACTCAGCTCAAATAGGTCTTGACATTTGCAATATAATTTCGACACATGAAATTCGATGTCTAAACCAGACCAGTCCATGTTCTAAACCATACCGAAAAATACTTGAAAACAACATTCCCGTCTGCAGCTCTCGTTCAGTGCTAAGGTGTAAGGGGTTGAAGAAAAAAAAAACTGTCCTTGTTATTCCCAGGGCAGCTTTTTTTACGGGGAATTAGATTCTCTTGATTTTTTAAATTTGTTTCTTGCTTTTGTGATACCTTTTTCTCCTTCATTATCTTAATGATCGCGGCCGCTTGCTTATCTTCTTTCCATGTTTTCTCGACATGCATGATTTTTTGGTTCCATTCTCAGTTCTATCGTTTGTCCCTTGTATGTGTATGTTTATGCAGGGGCGTAGCGAGGACCTAGGAGCTGGGGGGCACTGACACCCCCCCCCCCCCAAATTATTCCTCCTTTCATAAAACAAATAAACGAATAAACGCGCAAACAAAAAAGAAACGTATTCGTAATCGTATAAACTGATTTATACAGCGCACTTTCCTAGGTTGCAATAATTTTTTTTCCCTCTTTCGTTTTGGTTTAATATGCTTTTTTTTCTTTCCTTCTTTTTTGATTTTGTTGTTTTTGTTGTTTTTTTTCCAAAAAAAATTGTTTAAAAATTCTTGGGGGGGGGGGGGGGCACGTGCTACTGTGTGTATGCGTATGTGTGTATATATGAGTAGGCGTGCGCCTTTCTATTCTCTCCATGACAGGACTCGGTTGTTTAACTGGCTCAAAATGTATACATCTTGATACATGTTCAATATTTTCCGTAAACTTGCCTCGCTAATAAAGAGTGCACACGACCTTCAAATGCTTTTTTTAAATTTAAATTTTGGTCTCCTTTTTTTTTCTTCTTTTCTTATCATGAGAACCATTGCGCGATATTCTATTTCTTAGTTCAACAAAACCCCTGCGGTGAATTTATTAAAACAGGCAAATCTGCTTCGGCTTGAGATAACATTACCGCGTCATAATCCCTCAAGCAGTCTACAGGCGTTGAAAAGAAGGAATGTTAAAATGTTCTTGACCCAGATCGATGACAGTGCCAACAAAGCAATTAAGACACAAATCCTAAAAAATAGAGACATTTTGAAACACTTACTTACAAGCTAACATAATACAGATATATAGCAATATTCGGCGACTAGTTGGAAACCCCAGGTTGTACATTGGAGGGTCTTATCTGCGCGGAAACTGATAGACTTACAGCATATAATTTTGTAAAAATGGCGTTGAAATCGTTTACAGCATGGTGGCTGTATATTTTTATGATAGCGCGGTTCTTGATGACCGTTCAAGCACAGCCAAAAGGTAAGACCTCACTAGGCTTTTGGTTACATCTGCTGAGTGAAGTGTTTTTTTGCGTGTTTGATTCTGAATGATGAACTACTGACACTGAATTAATAATAACTGAAAATGTAATTGAAATGCGTCCAAATCGATTATTAGACTGAAATTGATTAGCTTTTTTAAGTTCTCGAGAGTTAACTTGTTGTGATGAAATATACCAGCAGCATATATTTCAAGTGACTTGAAGATTTAATTTTACAAAACGTGTAACATCCTTCGTATTTGTTTTTTCATCGAGCAATTAGGCGACGTGCTCGTAGGGTCAGTGTACAGACAACCCTTCATTCGAGTTTCTATACTACTAGCTGTGGTTGTAACTTTTAATGAATATTTATATAGTTAATGTGGTTAATGTGAGGAGGTCTAGAATCGTCGTTTTGTATCAATGCGCCGAGGCGACCTCATTGCTAGTAGTTTAGTACTATAGGTTACGTTCCGTCTTGTGACGATAGATGATTACTCGTTCTTTTATGGGTAATAAAGATGATCGATCGTGCCATCCTATTTCAATTCACCTTTTGTTGTATATAACAAAGTACCAGGCATTCGGGGTGCCTCAGGTTAATTAAATGACGTCATTACTGTAACAAAGCTCTATTTGCTAACTGGACCACCACTGGACATCGTATCGTCGAAATTGTCCATTGTCAAGACTTGAATAAATATATTTTTCTTCTTGAAATTACTTTTCCGAAAAATTATTTCTTAAGGGAAGAATGGTACTTCCCTTTAATTTTCATACATTTGTTAGTGGCATATATATATAAATAGGGTCGAGCCACCAACATTGCTATCAGCGACTTTGATGTGCAATCGATATCTTGTTATGGAATCATCACTTATTCACTCTTTCCCTTCGTAAAAAAATACCAGGTTTCGCCTCCGAGGAAACCACAGGCCTCCGATTGACTGAGCAAGCTGAAAAAGTGGATGAGGCTGAGCATGCGCACCGTCTGAAGAGACAACTGATCCAAAAGGTTTTGTTGTACAACATAATCTACGTCGTTGACTCGTCCTCGTCAATGAAGGATGTAGACTTCCGGCATGCAATCGAGGCAATAAGACTGTTAACTGCTAAGGCGAGACCGAATACAAGATATGCAGCGGTGATTTTCGCTACACACGCGCAAGTCATATCGACGTTTACAACACCAGCTGAAATAGTGAGGAAGCTGAGAGCCGTGAAGAGACTGAGAGGAGGAACGAATAGCTATGCAGCTTTGAAGGCATGTAGTGAACTTCTGAGAAATTCTAGGTGAGAGGCTATATTCTTCGTTTGCACATTATGTCATAGATGCCATGTGGGAGGAATATGATCAATAGATTATTTTGAAGAATTTATCTCTTGGGAGTCTCTATATGCTCTTTACAATAACATATTAATTTCTTTTGTTATATGTATTTTTCACGGCGGCCACGACTTTGGTTCCTTATGATTGCAAACCAATAATTGATTTACGCATCCGTTCCATCCATGCCCATCCCTAACACCGCCGGTCCTTCTGTCCATTAGTATTTTTGTTAAGATATTTATTAGTATTTTCTTTAAATTGTTTTTAACAGTTCTGGTCTCAATCCCAAGGCACTCAATAGAATCGTCATGATCACAGACGGTCTCTTTAACATGAATAAGTTGGACTCAATCAAACAAGCTTTTCAGCTCAAACTGAACGACACAGATATTTTTGTGATCGCTGTAGGCCGATACCTCTACGGTGCTCCGGCGATATCCTCCCTAGCAAGCACACAGGAATCCCACGTGTTCAGGGTGAAATCGATGAAGGGGTTGGTTGACGTCATCAAATGGAATCCCTACACAAACCCATGGGGATAAAGCACCTCTAGAGCCGTGATGATAGATTACTTAAGGAATAGACCCTGCTCGAGTTCCAAATTACCGCTGTGTTTCTCGATTACAGACTCATTTGCTCAGGCTTAGCCTCGAATCAGTGTCTAATTACTCGCAAATACCAACGCTAAAGTAAAGAATGTGAAACTTCAACAATACAAACATTTTGAAACTTGACGGACCTTGACTGGAAACGACGTGAATATTCTTCACAAAATCGAGGCTAAGCCTGAGCAAATGAGTCTGTAATCAAGAAAAACAGCGGTGATTTGGAACTCGAAAAGGGTCTATTCCCGGAAATCGGTACTAGAGCACTAGTAGTTTGGGGTTTATATAGGCGTGGGTGTTTAAAGGCAAGTTATATGTTTAGAGAAAATTCTTTTCGTATTCAAGCAGTGTGCGCCAAAACCTATTTTCTTGAAGAAAGGCTGTTGTACAAGGCTAAAATCTTATTATTCAGAAAGTTTAACTTGTTTGGAAGTGGAGATGACCGATGAAAGTGGAATCAAAGTGTTAACCCAAGTAGACTAAAGGCAAAAATTTTATTTGAAAATGCCTGAGGTTTAGGCCTTCATTTGCTTATTTCCCATATATTTTCTATAAGCAAATGAAGCAACATTCTAACACAAATGTAACAAAACATCTTTGTACAATTGATGGGTTGCAAGCATTCCCAAGAGAGTTAAAAGACAAAAACATGGCGGCCATTGTGGTGCCGTTAACAAAGGATGCTAATGAGAAAACTTTTGTTAATTGGTACCAACATGGCCGCGATGACGTAATGTGCAAACGAAGAATTGAAAATACCACTTCAAATAGGCATTTTATCATAGTACATCAGTTTTTAACTGTTTAAGAAATATTTTGATCAATATTTACTAACGTTTTTGTTTTTGTGGCACAAAAACAATAACGTTAGTAAATATTGATTGCAATCTATTGAACAACCGTCATTTCCGTCACTTAGTCTGGGATAGGGTGTGTAATTCTTTGTTTTAGTCTGTGGTAGGGTATGTAAAATCAAAATTTTAGGTCTGGGATAGGGTCAGGGTTTTGAGGTCCTGGCGGCACACCCCAACCCAAGTTGGGGTGGTAGTACCCCCCGGGACTGAATTCACTAATTGTTTAGTTACAAATTTTGTAAACTAAAAATAAGGACTTTATCAGTTCTGCTTTGGAAAAGATAGCAAAAGTATACATTTTAACGGCAGAAAGCATAGCCTCAGTTTGCCAAACAAAAACGACCAAATTGTTAACCCTATCCCAGACAAAATGTCAAAAAATGATACCCTACCCCAGACCCAAAAGCCGAAAAACCATACTCTATAGGGCGGCACATTTCCGTATAGCAAATATAGGGGAGTACCCTCCCCCCCCCAGTTCAGTTTTGGAATATCAAGACCTCGGCCATTTTATGCACCTCGGCCTACATCCTTGACAGGGCAAGGTAAGGCCTTCGTCTTCATACTTAAGATTCTTATTTATTCAAAATATTTTCTCGTTGCTGATTGGCCAACAGCCACTCATGGTTTATTTTTCATAGCAACTGACCAAATTCGATATTTTTTTACTTTTTTGACGATATGATACCATACCCTCAAAAAAGTAAAAAAAAAAAATATTGGACAATTAATGTTATCATATATAGATGGTACTGCGCACCACACAATTGCAATATGGCTTTCCAACAGGAAATATTTCAAGTTTGACACCAAAAAATCTTCCAATTTATGGCAGTGAAATGCTCTTGGACCAATATCTGAAGGAAAAAAACTGAAAATAACCAAGAACTTGCTGTTTTACTGAAATTTTTTTTTTCACTAGATGAGAAATTTACTAAATTATATTTTTACTTTGAAAATATTTTGATGCCATGAATTGGAATAAGGTATAAGGTATAAGAATAAATAACAAAATAATTAAATATTGAATTTGATTTTGAACCATGGCCAAAGAGTGTTATCTGAGATAACACTCTCCTGCATAATTTAATTGTTCATATCATATTCAGCCTCATCAATAATTGCTAAATATCATGTTCAGCCTTATCCAATTATTTTTTATTACCGAGGGGGAAGGGATGGAGGGGGTGACTGTCACATGGTACCTTATACCAATACGTACTACAGAAAATCTATCTAATGTGGGGTAATGGTGGGAGAAAAAATCAAGAAGAGTCTCAAGTTGATGGGAATTAAATTTCAGAGCTTCAAGTAAAGTTTATCTGAATAAATATCTTTTTGTTATGAACAAACTAATTTTATTTGTGCAAAGGAGGGAGGGGGTGAATAGTTTACCCCTCATCACCCCTGTTTATATATACAGTACTGCTTTTAAGAATTTCCATCAAATATTAATGCAACGATTAAAAACAAAAACATATTCTAAGAGCCTATTTTATTACAAAATGATATTAATATTCATTATAATTGGCATATATCTATAATAACACAGTTACTATATTCCTAAAGTTCTTCATGTTTAGGGCCAGTGAACTCCTCAAAAGATATAACCCCATCTTTATTCTTGTCCTCCTCTTGGAAAATCTCGGATACAATTGTATCATGGCTGGCAGGGTCATCATTTGGCATGCTATTCTGCTCTTTTAGGTAGGTTTTGATTTCCTCTTGGGTTAACTGTCTGTTTTTGTCCTTGTCAATCATGCCAAACACATCTGGTTGAGCCTGAGGGGAGTCTTGAATTTCGACCAGTTCGACGTCCATGTACAGTGTTGCACCTGGTGGTATAGCAGCACCAGCTCCATTGTCACCATAAGCTAAAAAAAGGTAGAAAGGATTACTATTATAAAAATTATAGACTGATGCATTTTCATCTGGATACAAATTGATCTTATCAATAAAAATAGGATTAAAGGAAATTTTTCATGGAGGATGGCAATCCAATCCTTGTATTTAACCCACTTCCAAGATATACTTTTCTCACACAAAGGTATCAGTGCAAGACTACATGCTAATTAAATCAATCCCTTTCTCCTGTCGCTATATATGACCATTATCAGTATGTACATTATCTCTCATGAAATCTTTGTGCATGACAATAATTACAAGAGAAGCATAACTCGGAATTGGAAATCAATAAGATATAAAGAGCCAGGATTAAACTGAATCTATAATCAAAAATGAATTAAATCATAGAATAGAATTATAAATAAATAAAACAGTAAAGTAATAATGAAAAAAAAAAAAAAAAAAAAAAAAAAAAAAAAAAAAAAAAAAAAAGCCAGCATTAAATGAAACACTTGGTAAAATATGATTAAAAGCACATGCAGTAAAACTATGAAAAAAATCAAAATTGATACTGACAAATAGTACTATTTAGTGACTACTAAATCACTCAGCCAAAACATTCATTACACAAAGACACATACACAAAAGACAATTTTTGATCACAAAGGTCTCATGTATGTGCCTTTTGTTTAACAAACTATTCTGGTTGAGTGATAGTGACTATTAGTCACTAAATATTATTATTTGTTCGTATCAATTTTGATTTTATTTCATGGCTTTACTGCATGCGCTCTATAGTAATCAAATTAAATATATAAGTATAATTATAAGATAAATGCAGGGATTATAAAAAAAATAAGTAAAATGTAAAAATGTAAAGAAATATTCAGTTTAAGGCAAAAGAGTCGATTGCCTCTTCAAATATCATTTACCAACAAGTAAGTTAAACGCCAAATCAAACAATACAATTAAAATTTAATTAAGAATTTCACTAAACAAGGGCCATTGATACAATGACACGTGCGTGGAATGAAATGTTACCCTTTACTAGAGTACTCTAAGTATCGGGGCAATTTCTTAAACATGAATACTCTACTTGTATTATCAATTCTGATGATGGCTGAGTGTTCATGAAAGCACAAAGCGCGCAAACAAAMCCAAAATAAATTCTAATTCATCATCTGGTTACGTTTGATGACTTTATACTAAAATTTGCGATTATCAAATAAAACAAAGTAACAGTTAACCATACTTTTAATAAAATTTTCAAAAGCCTACCTAGATGTGGAGGGATTATAAGCTTTCTTTTTTCTCCAACACACATATCCAGGAGTCCCTGCTCCCATCCTTGAATCACCATGCCTTTACCCAACGTAAAATCGAAGGTTTTACCGCGATCAAGACTTGAATCGAACTTCTTTCCATCCTTTAGTCTACCAGTGTAGTGCATCGCTAGGGTATCACCAACCTTGGTTTTGCGAGGGCATTTCTCTGGTTTTTCTACTACTTCAATTTTAAGCTGTGCTTGCTCAGCAGAGGAGATCTGAAGGACGGTGGCTAGGGATAGCGAGATTATACAAAGCAAAACATTCATGGTGATTGCCTTTCGTGAGAATAGAATTCCTGCCTGTCTAAAGTGTGTACGTGTAAAGCAGACTGACGTACATTCCTCTGATCAAAAATTCTTTGACTCCTTAGTAGCCAAGCTAAAGGCCTGGTCACAATTTGACTGAAAATTTCAATCGATCCCGTTACAAGCTCCCAAGGGGAAGCGCCATGGCTCTTTCTAGAAAATACACAATAAAAAATATAAAGATAATAAGCTTAATCTTATAGTTAAATTTTTATTTGAGYTTAAATTAAAAGCTAAGTAGACATTTCTGAGAAAAATCCTGAGAGATCGCATTTCAATACAACAACTTCATACTATTTACACAACGGACGTTTGGGTCATCAGGTCGTAGTTTTGTTGTCGTTGTTGTTGTTGTTATTGTTGTTGTTGTTGTTGTTGTTGTTATTGTTGTTGTTGTTGTTGTTATTGTTGTTGTTGTTGTTATTATTGTTGTTGTTGTTGTTGTTATTGTTGTTGTTGTTGATGTTTTTTGTTTGTTGGTTTTTTGTTTTTTTTGTCTTCCTTTTTTGACTTTATTTGTCTTTTTTGTTTTTGTTTTTATTATTTCGTGTTTTTTTTGTTTTTTTTAAAATATAATTTCATCCATTTTCATTTGCTTTTTGTCTAAATTGGAAAAGTTTTATTCCCAATTTCGACCTCCCCCTCCCCCACAGGTCCCCAATGTTGATAATAATTTCCCGCGCAAAGTCCTGGAAATGAGTCTTTGAATCTAGCTTCAAAATGGCGGACGAAGTGTTCCGAAACTAAGAAATGTTTTTCTGTTGTTTTTCCCCCTCTATTTCTTTACTAAATGCCTCAAATTTAGTAGCGTCTGAGGATTTTTAAACTCAAAATGGTAAGTGCAAAGAAATTTCTCGAGAATTTGATGTTGGAATATTGGCATTTTTAGTTTCATGTCACTGTTTTGGCCCTGTTTATTAGATTCGTTTGAGTGCTCTAAACGATGATTCAAGCGATGAAAGTGAACCCGAGAGAACTCAAGAAAGCATCAAACAAGCTCAGGTACATTTGGAGTATCTTTTGCCTTTTATATCCTAGCTTATATTCCTAGGAAGGATATCCTTTGTACCATATTTCCTTAAAAGTACTTAATACATTACCTTTTTATGAGAGTTTAAGAGCTCGTCTTTGATTTCCCAGAGTTTAAAATAATACTCACATCCTGTATCTTTAACATTATGGTGTAAATTTTCCGAGATCCAATCCTAAGATATTTTATTCCACCTGTGTATTGAGCCTTGGGGAATGGGGGTGGGGGGTGGGAGGGGAAGAGAAAGTGGGAAAAGGGAAGGTGGAGGGGTTGGGGGAGGAAGGAGGGGATATAGCTACATGTAGATGTGATTGGTTTTCTTGCAGGAGGCAGAGGCATTAGAGCTGTATAACAAAGCTCTGGGATACCAGCACTCTGAGGACTACATTAAAGCTGAAGAAACTTATAACTTACTCCTGTCATCAGATTTAGTCAAAGAGGTGGGTGTTCTTTGGATATGTGGGCATGTGGTTTTTGAGTGTTCAAGGAGGAATTCTTTGTGGGTGTGTGGGGGGTATACATATTATACAGTCAAAGGACAGAGTGCTCTGGGAGGGNGGGGAGGGGGAGGGGGGGAAAGAAGTAATAAACAAACTCAACAATTTGCTTAAGGTTCAGCCACATGCTGCTCTATTGAGATTAAAGTGTTAAACAAAATATAATGGAAACAATTTTTCTTGCCAACTTCAAACCAGCTGGAATGCATTGGCTGGAACCACTGCTTAGTGAAGACATAGTGTTATAGTAGTGCATGGAAACGTTATTTGTGTATGGTAAAAAAGTATGTACACTTTTTAAGGCTCCTGCACCAGAAGAAGACGAAGAGCTTAAGCATCCAGGTCAGGTGTTGAAATACTCTGCTTACAAAAACCTTGCAGTTTTGGCAGAAAACAAAGGAGAATATGAAAAAGCTACAGATGCCTACCTGGAGGTACACATGAATATCCCAATTTATTTCTAATTTATTTCTAATTTATTTCACTAACCATACTGTCTTAATGATTGAGTGGATATTATAGATTTCATAACCCCATATCTGTACTTTGTATAGTGAGTATAGTTTTGGATGGATGGTTCAAGCACCTCCTTGTTCAGAGGGTTGCTTGTTCAAGCCCTGCAGACTCCACATGTGAATTGAGTTTCTTTACTGCGACAGGACTTACCTGTACCTAAATATTATATAATTATTTTCTAGGCTGTGTTATTAGATGACTCAGATGTGACTGTCTGGTACCACATTGGAAAGGTTTTCATGAAGTCTTTTAATCTAAGTTTAGCAAGGCAGGCATTTGAAGAGGTACATTTATGAACAACTCATACTGTACAGTATTTGCATGGTCATATATTAATTCGCCCAGTCAATTGCTTTTCGTGTTTCAGTCAAACTGCATATGTGACATTATCTTAACTTATGCTTTGGCTGCCATGCAATAAATTTATGACTATACATTTGTTTCTCATAACGGTTATTTTATCTGTCTTCCTAGGGTCTCAGGTGTAACTCCAAACACTGGCCATGTTTGAATGAGTTGTGTACAGTTTTGTATGCCATAGGAGACTATGCAAGTAAGAAATTTTGCATGACTGGGTAATTGTGTATTTTATGACCATGTGTTCATAATTGACATACTCAAGAAAGCAGTGTTTGAAATATGAACCATTAGTTGTTTGAGGTTGGCACACACAGCATCCTTTACCTTCTACGTTTGGAACGCCAGTGCGTAAACGTGTTTTATCCGATTGCAAATCTTTTTTGCACATAAGACACATAAAGATTGGATTAATGTTTGATGCAGTTTTTAATGAGATCGGACGTCATAACACGTGATTATGATGAAATATTTGTTTTCGTTTAGAGAGCAATTTTAGCCTTGCAGAGCTTCAACACTAAAATGCTTCGTACCACATAATTATATACTAGATGCCTCCATTTGTAGGGATTTTTGAAAAAATCTATCTATCTAATTATGAGATATTTGAGATTATTTAAATATAGTGCGTAATCTACTTCAAAACTAAACAATGGATTTGATATGGCCGAAATTAATATTTCAGAGCTATATATATTCACAAAAGTCATTGCTCATGACTGACTTGTTGATCATTTGTCTCAAAACTCCAGGCCAGAAATCATCAGCGAATTTTAGAATAATGGAAGATCTAGTAAGATTGACTAGAAAACTGCAATGAAAAGTGCGCATCAAAAGTTTACCCCGTCTTATGCATTATACGTTTTCACAAAATCGCATAAGTCGATTACCTTCAAAATGTTCCTTTTAAAACTAGATACAGAGTAAAACTAAATGAGCAATGACTTTTGAGAATATATAGCTCTGAAATATTAATTTCGGCCGTATCAAATCCATTGTTTAGTTTTGAAGTAGATTATGCACTATATTTAAAGAATCTCAAATATCTCATAATTAGGTAGATAGATTTTTTCAAAAATCCCTACAAATGGAGGCATCTAGTAYATAATTATGTGGTACGAAGCATTTTAGTGTTGAACGCTCTGCAAGGCTAAAATTGCTCTCTAAACGAAAACAAATATTTCATCATAATCACGTGTTATGATGTCCGATCTCATTAAAAACTGCATCAAACATTAATCCAATCGTTATATAACTTATGTGCAAAAAAGATTTGCAATCGGATAAAACACGTTTATGCACCAGCGTTCCAAACGTAGAAGGTAACGTCAAGCGTGAGGGGGTCCAGCCACCTTAAATTGAAAAATTCCAATGAGAGCACAATACAGTATGTCAAGAATACAAGTCATGTAAAACACTATGACATTCCTCAGACATGAAACACAATTACATGTGAATATTTTACACAACATTTTAAAACTAATTTAAAACCTAAAAGTTTTTTCCTGTTTGATATTTCTTTTTTTAGCTTGCCTGGTCATGATTGCCAATGCTTTGGAAAGGGACGAAAATTATCTTAAAGGTAATTTTTCATTAAGTGTAATATTTAATATATACAAGCAATATGTCATGTATAAAACGTGTATGTCTCTGTACTGTGATATGTATATATGGCAAACATTGGTGATGATTACATGTATGTCTGCTAGCAGTATTACTGTGATGCTGAGCATTATGTATTCTTGTTAGAGACAATTTTATATTTATTTGTTTAATAGCTTTTGTGGCCAATGGCCTGCAGGGAGAGAACAAAACATTAAAAATTAAATGCATCTTTGATCAAAAACATTATGGTATTATTGATATTGTTTCAGGTCTTGCCTTAAGGGACAAAATATTCAAAGAAGAAGCGTATTTAAAAAGAGACTACAAGCACTTAAGGTACAGCACTTAACATTTACACACACGGGTGAATTACTAATAATTGTTAACAGTGTGGCACACTGTTAGACGTGTAATTCATGCTACTCTATGTGGTTGGTTCAGTTGGTTGAATACAGTACTTGCCAGGGCTACAAAAAACCTGCAGCCTGATCCTTCATAGCTTGACATGATGGCCAGTCATTTTGCAAGACCTTTCATTTAATCATTAATTTTTCTATTGAGCATTGGCTGTTGTTTTTCAGAGCTCTCTTTGTATCATTTATTGGTGAAGAAGATGCAGTGGAAGCTTCAAAGGTACATGTATTAAACCTCTGACAGTACTGTATGTTAGTGTAAACCTATGAGTTGGGTTTCCAGTGATATTTAATTTATAAAAGAAAAAGGAAATCCATTTGACCCCTAACTGTTGTCTTTTAATATAAAAGTATGCATTTGTTGTCTTTTAATATAAAAGTATGCATTTTTTGTAGTATGTACAGGAAGCTCTAAAACTAAGAGAAGAAAGACTTAAGTTAATAGAAGCAGATAAGGCAGATCCCCTGCCCATTGATCCTGTCAAACCCTTGACATCTTACACGTGAGTAATTTTGAGAAATCAATCTAAATTATGTGGAAATTTTAATTTCTAATTTGGAAATAATTAATATTAATAATCAAAAATTGCTGCTATGCATATTCAGAGTCATTGATTTAATATTAAAAATAACATATTTTTGATAGTTATTTGATGAATCTAGGTGCTGAAATGTTTAAGAGGCGTTTGGCTCCCATGATTTGACTCTGACTATTACTTTCAGTTAACTAATATCTTAAAAATTTTGTTTTCCAAAGACGTATTATAAATATATACAGGGCTGTCAACCCTCAAGATATTCAAATATGGAGAATTGATAGGGAAGGGACATGACGTCACAGCGGATGACGTATATAATATGATCTACTGCTTTATAACATTTGATGTGATTGGTTTATTTCTGACCAATCAGATTATCGCTTATTATTACAATGACCTGCTTGCAAGAACAGTTTATGAGGAATGTTTTGATTTTGTTAGCAATGTAAAATAACACAAACAACATAAAATAATTGGAATTTTATGGTTGTGAAAGTCGAGTCTCACAAGAAATGGTCAGCTTCGGCGATTATCCAGGAGATTTGAGACTCTAATCTTGAGACCGGGAGATACGGTCCAAAATCCGGAGACTCCCGGTTTATCCGGGAGAGTTGACAGCCCTGATAATATGTTATTTTCAAGATTAAACGAATGACTCTGAATATATGTATTGAAGCTATTTTTGATTATTATTTTTTTTCCAAATTAGAATAATAAGTATTACTACCCTTTTTTCGCTGTGGAGAGACAAATCTTGCTTTCATGTTGCTTTCATGTTGCTATTTTAGTTGGGCTTCACTAGGAGAATGTTTTGTGGTATTGTATGACCACTTGACCTCGCCAGATAATCCACAGTCACTGGGACGAACTGTTAACCTAGAGGACTATTACAAGGCCATAGTCACACCAGGTCAGTAACCCCAATCGGCTGACAGTTGAGTACAGTTATTAACACGTATCATCAAATCACTAACTAAGGGTTACCTTATCTTACCACAAATTGTAAATTTCTCTCCTGCTGATTGGCTATTTTTTATGATCAATAAAAAGGACAGACAAATTAATAAGCTGAATTCAACAAGCATGAGCTCTTTCTGTTGGCGTAGTCAATCAAACAAATCCGAACAAAATACCAATCGAACTCAACTGAACACCAATTGTTCAATTGATTTTGATTGAGTTCATTGATTTAAGTGATGATGATTATGACTTTGATACTCTAGTACTTTACATATGGATGTGTTCAAGGTGTTTTGCTATGAGTTATGAGCAAAAGTACTGTATATTATTTAATTTAAGAAGCCAATTCTAAGCAGTCTGACAAGAACAAAAAAAATCAGCACAAAAACTTTTGTTTTCCTTTTTTCTTTGAAATTTTCCTAGACATATCCATGCCCCACAAAGCATCTCTTGCCAAGGCTGCTGCTACTGCTGACAACCTTGCTGGATCTAGTTTCTCAACTGAAGGATTTGGTGTTTATAAGAGTACAGGCTCATCAGGTAAGATAAGGCGAGGTGAGGGGAGGGGAGGGGAGGTAGGAGTGAGGTGAGGTGAGGTGCTTCTTAATGAGGTGAGGTGATTCTTAATGCGTCCTGGAGCAAACTGTTGACTAAAGACCATCAAATGGTTGATACATGTAAATGGGTGACAAATGGCTAACAGTTGATCACCAGGGCATTTGCAGGCTGTTCTTACATTAATGTACCTTGTGATGTTAAAGCTAAGAAATAAGATAAACTGTATATCCCTCAGATAATGATGAGAAAATCAAGAAAGCTACCAAAAGAAAGAAGCAACCAACTAATGGGCTAGAAAATGATTTTCCTCCAAAAAGGCGTTCAGCTAGGGTAAGCTGGTCAAATTTGCAATTTAATGTCACATATATTTATTATGTATTATAACTTAATGAAAAAATATATTTTATGTATTTTTCAAAAAAAGTACTCATTGCTTTGGGAGTACAGGCACTTTCACAGCAATTAAGACTTAAAATTTTGAACTGAAAGATGTGGTTGTTTTAGCTGTAATGTCCGTAACGACACTTTAAATCAAGTGATTTTTGCACTAGTTTTTAGCTAGTTATCTCTTCTTTAAATCAATAAATCAACTGTCCAGGAATTTGCATTCCAAACTTTTCCCGATCACTTATGAAACGCAAAGGGGTTTCCCAAGGTACAATAGCGTATTAAAACAAATGCATTCACTGCTTGTGGTACTGATATTTCTCTTTGAATTCATTAATTTATCCATGGAGTATATAATAAGCCTGAAGCGAGATGACGTTTTACCCCCGACTCTATACCATAATAGTTTTTAAAATTATTTCATATTAAAATTTTTGATTCCTTAGAGAATACAGGAACAATAGTCATAATTAAAGAACAAAAAGCAGTGTGAAAAGAATTATGGTCTAGAGACGGGGGTAAAACATCATCTCGCTTCAGGCTTATTGACAGTATATTTTTTTCTTAATGGACTGTAAGCCCTTCATATTTGAGCAGAACAAAAAAGTCAGTCAGCCTTAAAGTACTGTGTACATTGTTATGTCATTATGCTTACAATAATGAAACCAATGACATATAAGTTGTGAATGCTGTTTTTTTTTTTCTCATTTGAAGGTACGTACCAGCAAAAAGAAAGAAGAAGACATCAACTACAAGGACTTGATTCAACCATTTATGCCTTTCCCTCTAAGGTGGGTATACTGTAACTCCATTCACTTTACCTTACCAACCACTAGCTTTATTAACTGACAGTAATGTTATGACTCTAAGTTATGCAGCATTTTACTAGACACTTACCAACCACCTACCAACCACTCAGCAACACCTTACCAGTCACTTACCAACTGGTCATTAGATTTATTAACTGACAAAATAATGTTACTTCTGTAAGTTATATATTAACTGACATTTTACCAGGCACTCTAATTACCAACTACTTACCAAACAATTAGCAATTGGTAGGCTCTTAAATGGTAGTGGACATTGTGTAGGAGGGTATACAAAGTCCAAGCTCTGCCCAGGATTGATAGAAGGGAGCCTAGATTCTAAAAGAGCCTAGATTACAGACACTTTATTCTATAACTAGTTTTGTTTACTTTTCATTTTTCCTCCTAATGCTTTGAATAGGTCAATCATCCTTGCTGAAGATGAAAGCAGTCAAGACAGCCTTAATGACAGTCAATCTAATTTTCAAAAGTATGTTTCTTTAGGTTTTAAATTTAGTCCTGTGTTCTTTCTCTTTGGTTCTCATACAGTAGTTTGTCTGGAATGCATATAACACGCATCGATATTCCTTTATTGTTTCTTTCAATTTCATTTTATCTCTCCCACTCCTTTTTAAAACATACATATTTGATACTATTATAATCTTTATTTATCTATATAAAATTCATTTTTTTAATCATTCAGAGGTAGCCAGCCAGTGATGTCTCAGGATGGAAAAGCCCCAGACAAATCAACTTTTGGTATGAAAGTACATTTTGTTCTTTATTGTTTTGAAACCTGCCATTGATTTATATCCTTCACCATTGGCATATAAAACACTGGTAGCTTAGCCAATCAGAACCAAGGATCTGCATTAATGCACAAGTTTTTTTATAATTATTGATAATATGATCATTTATTTATCTTTTTGATTATTTCATTTCATTAATCAACTCATTCACTCATCTGTCCATCTATCCTTCTGACCTTCCGTCCGTCC